GCCACCGAGGAATAGAGTTCAGGGGCACCAACACCTCTATTTATGAGATCTCCCCAAACCGAAGCGTACAGCGTTTCTCACCTAGCGCTACTCTTCGGCCCTTCTCAATGTCAGGACGCGACCTTGATATGAATGCCTGTAAGTCTGTTTAGAAATGAAGGATCCCACAATTGTACAAAATTTACAGCACTGTTATAATGTGTTGCCCTCTTGTACTTCACACAAGTTAATCCTATTTTAACATCGCCGCGCCTGACTCGATGGTCCATTCAGAAATTGGGCGGATTTTAAAGTAAAATGGAATGATTAAAACTTTTATATTTTTACATACAAATTGCATTTTTTGATTGTCCATTTTGGCGTAATCAAAATTGTTATATTGTGATGTTGTTTGCAGGGGTGACGATAGAGTTAGTACAGGAGTTTTTCCAGCGTCCTTAAAAAATCCAAAAGAACAAAAAAAAAAAAAAAGAAAACCAAACAACTCTGGTGCTAGTCGAAAATTCAGCCCCCCTCTTTAAAAAAGAGAAAAAAGTGCCGCTAGGGTCGGACCACGCCCCTCCACAAAGCCCTTTCAGACGTCACTGGTTGTTTGGCCTCAGTTTAGAGACTCACTGAAATAGTTCAAATTTTTGAAATAAAGATTGGCGTTGTTTGAAAAAAAAAAAAAAATATTAAGATTACTTTATGAATGACAAAGTAGTTTTGGTGGTGGTCGGAAAAAAAAGGTGTGGGGGAGGGGGGGGGGTTCCAAATTAACAATCTGACTTGTCAGGAGGATAAACAAAAACGTACACACACAATACCCCCCCACTCCCAATATATATTTTTTATATCTATGTTAATTTTTAAAAAAAAATATTAAGATTACTTTATGAATGACAAAGTAGTTTTGGTGGTGGTCGGAAAAAAAAGGTGTGGGGGAGGGGGGGGGGTTCCAAATTCACAATCTGACTTGTCAGGACGATAAACAAAAACGTACACACACAATACCCCCCCACTCCCAATATATATTTTTTATATCTATGTTAATTTTACTTAAATACTTTATTCACAAGTTCACGGCGCTAGCCAATGAAGTGTAAATGGTCATGACCCGACTGTCATACAAAGATGGAGAAGATGAAGCCGGCAGTGTGGGTAGTCTGAAAACCAGGTGAGAACAGCGAACTTGGATTCCTAAAAATCTGCATCGAAACAGAGGGTTGTGTGTGGTTTTGGGGTTGGGGGGTGGGGGTGGGAGGGTCGATTCAGGTTTATTTAAGTCATGTTTTGGCAACATTTGTTTACATGAAGTGTCGCTATGCAGCTGGTTGGGCTGGAATCAACGCCACGTTTGACAAGTGCGGTTTCCAACCACTGCTCTGCTGAAATAGTAAAAGAAAGAAATTAGTTGCCAGTTACATTAGAAGAAAAAAAACCCAGTAACTTTTTTTTTTTTGGACTAGATCATCTCCTCGGTATTGCATTAAAAAGCTACAAACTGCACTCTTACGCTAAACTAGAGAAAACCAAAGAACAAAATCATACTATCACCTCACAAAAGCTGTCCATTTTATAGCATCCACAAAACTGTCTATTTTATAGCATTCACAAAAGCTGTCTTTTTTATAGCATTCACAAAAACTGTCAATTTGATAGAATTCACAAAAACTGTTTATTTTATAACATACACAAAAATTGTATATTTTATAGCCTTCACAAAAACTGTTTATTTTACGGCATCCACAAAAGTGTCTATTTTATAGCATTCACAAAAACTGTCCGTTTTATGGCATTCACATTTCAATGCCAATATTTATTTCTCATCGCCATCACTTTTCAACACTTACAATAATGTTGCATTTTCTGAAGAGAATTGGATCGGACACATTTATCAACTGATGCTCCCTGGGAGAGCTCTTGCAGTCAATTTCTTGTAAAAAAAAATATATTCATAACGGAAAACAACCAGATAAAAAAAGTATTTAAAATCATTAGTGACGTCTTCTCTTATTCTTCTTCTATATTTTGAGGGCCCACGATCAATGAATTGATCATTGTGGCTCCTATGTATTTGCTCATTAGTATACAAATCCAATCAGAGGGTGTCAAAGGTGGGGAGGGGTGGGCAAAATCATTTGTGGTCATTTTGCCCCATCCTCTCATTCATAGGGCCCTTAAACGGACATACTATGCAGAATATAAGATCGAAAAAAGACAATCTTGATAAAAAAAATCTCGGGGAAGTTATGAGAAAAATTATTTTTTCTTCCCTCCTTCCCCCAAAGAAACAACAACAAACAAACAAACAAACAAACAAAAAAGCCATATTTGATTTTATCTTTAAATCGATCTTCAAAGTAGCTACAACGGCCGATTGTCAAGCTCCACAGCAGCGTCCAGATACACTCACCCTAGATACACTCACATTGAAACAAAATACGTAGACAAGGGTAAGGGCCAAATCGAATCACAATAATATCAATAAAGGTAATGTTGGAGATAAATCCTCTATCATAAGGAAGTCTTCAATACGTCTTACGCAAATTGCCTGGCATTCGTTATTCTTAAACGAAAGGAATATCATTGAAAATGTTTTTAAAAAAATCAATTTTTTCCAAAAAAAAAAAAGAAAAAGAAAGGCACTTAACATATCAATGAGATTTTTTTATTCCCAGATCTCCCTTACTGAACAGGTTGCCACTGGTAGGACCATTGAACATGAATGGAAAGGACTTTAAAAATGATTTGTATTTCCTTGCATTTTTTTCACCCCACTTTACCCTAGGAAAATATCGTTGCTTTTATTCAGACAATCCCTTGCGTGCCTTTCTCGGTATATTCGTGAGGCAATGATAAATCATAAGTTATCAATAGATGAAACGAAACTAACGACAAAGTCATGTTTTTTTAATGGTATTATTCTTCTTTTGACACACCACTGCTACGTCATTACCCGCGCCTTTAACCGGCTATTGATTTCAATAGGCTATTGAGGGAATTGGTGTGCAGATTTTAAGACAGTATAATGGGCTCATAGAAATTTTATATCCCATCGTAACATTACTTCCTGGTTCTGAAATATCTTTTCCCACTTTACGATTTAGCTGGATCAGTTGAGCTTAAATAAATGATTGCCATGTTAAGTATCAGTTGTGCGTAACCGTTTATTTGATGGAAACTACGGGAAGAATTATTTGTAGTATTGTAAAGACCCCCATGGCAACGATGGCGCAATCTTAGTATGGCATAGAAAAAAAAAAAGCGATTCAATTCCAGCACCGCTCCGCTCTTGCGGATCATACAGAAAAAGGGGAGCTAACCCATTATTACACATTTATGCCCGATGTTTTTCAAAGTTAAATTTGAATAGCCTTCGTATGAAAAGAAAGGTTTAATTCCTCCTCAATCAAATGAAATAAAAGCTTTGAGATATTTCGATGTTTAATGCGGTGATGTTACTACCGGGTTGTTGTTTTTTTTCGGGGGGGGGGGGGGGGGGTGGCTCACCGGGTGACAACCCTCACAGGGGCTGATGCAAAATGGAAAATTGCCAGTTTGACAGTGCTCTAGTAAGTAAAAAAACAAAAACAAGGTGGTAGCCACAGCAGGGTGCTAGCAAGAGCAAGGTGTAAGCCAGAACTGGGTGCGAGCCAGAGCAGGGTGTGATCCAGAGCAGTGTGCTAGCCAGAGCAGGGTTTGGGTCAGAGAAAGGTGTGAGCCAGAGCAGGGTGCCAGCCAGAACAGGGTTTCAGCCAGAGCAGTGTGTTAGCCAGAGCAGGGTGTCAGCCAGAACAGGGTGCTAGCCAGAGCAGGGTGCTAGCCAGAGCAGGGTGTCAGCCAGAAAGGGGTGCCCGCAAGAACTGGGTGCCACCAAGAGCAGGGTGTCAGCCAGAGCAGTGTGCTCGCCAGACCAGGGTGCTAGCTAGAAAAGGGTGCCAGAAAGAGCAGGGTGCCAGCCAGAGCAGGGTTTTGACTAGAGCAGGGTGCGAGCCAGAGCAAGGTGTGAGCCAGAGCAGGGTGCTAGCCAGATCAGGGTGCCAGCCAGAACAGGGTGTCAGCCAGAGCAGTGTGCTAGCGAGAGTAGAGTGTCAGCCAGAACAGTGTGTCAGCCAGAACAGGATGCCAGCAAGAACAGGGTGCTAGCCAGAGCAGGGTGTAAGCCAGAATAGGGTGCCAGCCAGAGCAAGGTGTCAGCCAGAGCAGGGTGCCAGCCAGAACAGGGTGCCAGCCAGAGCAGGGTGTCAGCCAGAACATGATGCAAGCCAGAACAGGGTGCCTGCCAGAGCAGGGTGTCAGCCAGAGGAGTGTGCTAGCCAGCGCAAGGTGTCACCCAGAGCAGGGTGTCAGCCAGAACAGGGTGCTAGCCAAAACAGGGTGTCATGCAGAGCAGTGTGCTAACCAGAGCAGGGTGCTAGCCATAGCAGGGTGCCAGCCAGAGCAGGGTGCCAGGCAGAGCAGGGTGCTAGCCAGAGCAGATTGCCAGCCAGAGCAGGGTGCCAGCCAGAGCAGGGTGTCAGCCAGAGCAGGGTGTCAGCCAGAGCAGGGTGCTAGCCAGAGCAGGGTGCTAGCCAGAGCAGGGTGCCAGCCAGAACAGGGTGCCAGCCAGAGCAGGGTGTCAGCCAGAACATGATGCAAGCCAGAACAGGGTGCCTGCCAGAGCAGGGTGTCAGCCAGAGGAGTGTGCTAGCCAGCGCAAGGTGTCACCCAGAGCAGGGTGTCAGCCAGAACAGGGTGCTAGCCAAAACAGGGTGTCATGCAGAGCAGTGTGCTAACCAGAGCAGGGTGCTAGCCATAGCAGGGTGCCAGCCAGAGCAGGGTGCCAGGCAGAGCAGGGTGCTAGCCAGAGCAGGGTGCTAACCAGAGCAGGGTGCCAGGCAGAGCAGGGTGCCAGGCAGAGCAGGGTGCCAGCCAGAGCAGGGTGCGAGCCAGCGCAGGATGTCAGCCAGAGCAGGGTGTCAGCCAGAACAGGGTGCTAGCCAAAACAGGGTGTCATGCAGAGCAGGGTGCTAACCAGA